TTTCTGTGAGAGCTTTATAAAATCAAGCAGCTAACCATGACGTCTGCCTTTACAAAACACTTGTCAATCACTAAAGAGTTCCTTCACTTGTCAGTCACTATGTGGTACTAAAGAGCTGTCTGAAATTCAGTTACAGCCCACACAAAGTTACAGATTGGAGTATCCGAGTGCTGAGGTGCGCTTGTGCGCAAAAGTCACAAACACTCTGCTGACTCACTAACTGTACAGCTCCAAACCTCTTCCGACCTCAAAGTCAGCACAGAAAGTGGGCGCCACGAGCTTCGTAGTATGTGTTTACATGGCTGAACAGCTGCTATATTCGAACAAACGCCTTCAGAGGAGACTGCGACCTGAACGCAGTGCCTTCGCCCGCTTGGCGACCAAAAACAAGTTATCACTATGTGACATGCAGTATGGTTTCACCTCCCAATAAGCAGGTCCCACCGAGATTTGAACGCGGATCGCTGGATTCAAAGTCCAGAGTGCTAACCATTACACCATGGAACCGATGTGAAACTGTGTGAACTGTCATGTCATGGCAACCTGCCTAAAAGTATTCAGCCAAATGATCAGTATGGATGACATTGTAGATTATTTGCACTACGTTTCCATGGCTGAACAGCTGCTATATGTGTTATGAGAAGGATAATGTGTGTTTCTTCCAAAGTATCTAACAGTGGTAACCTCCACCAAACTGGCACTGCAATGTCAGAATGGCTGAGCGGTCTAAGGCGCTGCGTTCAGGTTACAGTCTCCTCTGGAGGTGTGGCTTTGAATCCCACTTCTGACATTGAAGCTTTACTCTTCTTGATATTGTGACAAAATACTCTTGGGTTAACCACGAGCTTTCTAAAAACTTGCATATAACAATTGTGCACCATTCATTCCTCATCTTTGCTGCCCATCATTACAACTTTGCTAATGATGGGCAGCAGGATAGTGTCATGATGTTACCTCAGACATGGTTAAAAGCCCTGATAACGTAAGTGCTTCTCGCCGTGTCTGGTGCCGCGTGCCTGTAATCCAAGCTACCGGGAGGCTGAGGTTTGAGGATTGTTTGAGCTCAGGAGCTCTGAGCTGCAGCAGGCTATGTCGATCGGGTGTCCGCATTGCGTTCGGCATTGATATGGTGATCCTGGGGGAGCCTGAGACCACCAGGTCACCTAAGGAGGGGTGCACCGGCCCAGGTCGGAGACGGAGCAGGTCAAAGCCCCCGTGTCGCTCAGTAGTGGGATCGCACCTGTGAATAGATGCTGTAGCGCAGCCTGAGCAATACAGCTAGACCCAATCTTTATACACATCCTTATACTTGTCTCTAGATCACACAGCAGCCTCATCAGCATGTCTTGGTCTTTTTAATTCAAGTCCAAAACACTCACAAATCTGCTGCTCTGCTTGTCCGGCACCACCTCCACCTGCAGGACAGCTGCAACTACATCCTCCACTCTAAACACGCCACCGCCCAGCAGGTGGAGACAAACTCAAAGTAGGACATTTCCTTGGTGAGGAGAGAGGATGGAACCAAAAATGCATTTATCCCCGTGTTCTGTGTTGATGAAAATCACCCAACAGGAAAGCAGCTGGGCATTCATTTGAAACCAGTTCACAGGTTGGGCTGTGGTTCCCCCTCTAGCGTGTCTGCTTGAACTTTCAACTGTGAACCACTTAGATCCAACCTTCCCAACTGCTCATCTCGCAAAAGACAAAATAGAAGAACCCAGAATGTCTTTTTATACCTGCTCACGCTTTTTCACGCTTCCCTCACAGGACGTCACATTTCACACTTTGGCCATCCAATCAAGTTGTTGACATCTAATCATTCCTGTCCACCACACCTGATCTTTCTATTTCGATCTGACTTACAACATTTAACACAAACTTTTAAATCAATATATTTTCTTAGTAATTATTTTTATTTGTTTATTACATGCACTTAACATACAAGTATGTCAAATGGAAATCAGCAACTGCGTGGGATTATTCAACTAGTTGGCTGTTGCAATGTGTCAGGATGGCTGAGAGGTCTAAGGCGCTGCGTTCAGGTTGCAGTCTCCCCTAGAGGCGTGGGTTCGAATCCCACTTCTGACAATTGTATCTTGGCACTTCTTTCTTCCTTCTACTCATGGGTCTTTGATCAGTGGTTGTTGATTAATGGTCATGAGAATTTGCATAATCGTGATGAAGGAACTGACCTCCAAGCCCACTGTTCCTTCAGGGGGCTACTTTCAGTCATTATGCAAATATACTGTTTATAAGATTGGGGAAACCTGCAGTCAGCTGACACTGAAGAAGTCACTTGGATGAGTGACGAGACATTTTTCCCACTGAAAACGCTACATTCAGATGAACAGAATCAACCTTTGGAGACGTCTTACTGTTGTGACAAAATACACTTGAAACTGGCAATTCTATATCAGTGGAGAACCAATTCCAACAGTCTAAGAGATGTCCATCAAGAGCCTGGGACGGTGGTATAATGTAGACCTCAATGATACCTGGCAACTTGACAAACGAAGGCAAAACTTGGCTAATGACCTCAGGCGGATTAACAACACTGCACTCCTTGAGTGAGGCTTGAGATGTCACTCAAGGACTCCCGGGACCCCATAGTGAGGGGCGCTGCTCCCACCCTAGCAACAGGGAGGAAGTGGACCACAGCCATGTCTGTGCTACAGGCCAAATCGGCTCTGAGCCATAATGACATGGTGGGTCGCGTCCAACAGGGCAGAGAAGGATTTGGTCTTGGCAACCTCGGTGGCAACAGGCATCTGTAACCGAACGTCAAAAAATGGTGGTGTGTCGAAAGGAGGAAACAGTAAGACACGCCAGAGCCATAGCGCTGGCCAAGCAGGGTCACTGGATGAATTGGGAGAGTTTTGAAAAGAGGAAACTCTTATGGAGTGAAATCTGGTGAAATCGGTGGGACCTGATTTTTGGGGGGTGAAACCATACTGCATGTCTTCTCTGGCACATTGAATTTCTGTATGACTTGTGTTTTCTGTGAGAGCTTTATAAAATCAAGCAGCTAACCATGACGTCTGCCTTTACAAAACACTTGTCAATCACTAAAGAGTTCCTTCACTTGTCAGTCACTATGTGGTACTAAAGAGCTGTCTGAAATTCAGTTACAGCCCACACAAAGTTACAGATTGGAGTATCCGAGTGCTGAGGTGCGCTTGTGCGCAAAAGTCACAAACACTCTGCTGACTCACTAACTGTACAGCTCCAAACCTCTTCCGACCTCAAAGTCAGCACAGAAAGTGGGCGCCACGAGCTTCGTAGTATGTGTTTACATGGCTGAACAGCTGCTATATTCGAACAAACGCCTTCAGAGGAGACTGCGACCTGAACGCAGTGCCTTCGCCCGCTTGGCGACCAAAAACAAGTTATCACTATGTGACATGCAGTATGGTTTCACCTCCCAATAAGCAGGTCCCACCGAGATTTGAACGCGGATCGCTGGATTCAAAGTCCAGAGTGCTAACCATTACACCATGGAACCGATGTGAAACTGTGTGAACTGTCATGTCATGGCAACCTGCCTAAAAGTATTCAGCCAAATGATCAGTATGGATGACATTGTAGATTATTTGCACTACGTTTCCATGGCTGAACAGCTGCTATATGTGTTATGAGAAGGATAATGTGTGTTTCTTCCAAAGTATCTAACAGTGGTAACCTCCACCAAACTGGCACTGCAATGTCAGAATGGCTGAGCGGTCTAAGGCGCTGCGTTCAGGTTACAGTCTCCTCTGGAGGTGTGGCTTTGAATCCCACTTCTGACATTGAAGCTTTACTCTTCTTGATATTGTGACAAAATACTCTTGGGTTAACCACGAGCTTTCTAAAAACTTGCATATAACAATTGTGCACCATTCATTCCTCATCTTTGCTGCCCATCATTACAACTTTGCTAATGATGGGCAGCAGGATAGTGTCATGATGTTACCTCAGACATGGTTAAAAGCCCTGATAACGTAAGTGCTTCTCGCCGTGTCTGGTGCCGCGTGCCTGTAATCCAAGCTACCGGGAGGCTGAGGTTTGAGGATTGTTTGAGCTCAGGAGCTCTGAGCTGCAGCAGGCTATGTCGATCGGGTGTCCGCATTGCGTTCGGCATTGATATGGTGATCCTGGGGGAGCCTGAGACCACCAGGTCACCTAAGGAGGGGTGCACCGGCCCAGGTCGGAGACGGAGCAGGTCAAAGCCCCCGTGTCGCTCAGTAGTGGGATCGCACCTGTGAATAGATGCTGTAGCGCAGCCTGAGCAATACAGCTAGACCCAATCTTTATACACATCCTTATACTTGTCTCTAGATCACACAGCAGCCTCATCAGCATGTCTTGGTCTTTTTAATTCAAGTCCAAAACACTCACAAATCTGCTGCTCTGCTTGTCCGGCACCACCTCCACCTGCAGGACAGCTGCAACTACATCCTCCACTCTAAACACGCCACCGCCCAGCAGGTGGAGACAAACTCAAAGTAGGACATTTCCTTGGTGAGGAGAGAGGATGGAACCAAAAATGCATTTATCCCCGTGTTCTGTGTTGATGAAAATCACCCAACAGGAAAGCAGCTGGGCATTCATTTGAAACCAGTTCACAGGTTGGGCTGTGGTTCCCCCTCTAGCGTGTCTGCTTGAACTTTCAACTGTGAACCTCTTAGATCCAACCTTCCCAACTGCTCATCTCGCAAAAGACAAAATAGAAGAACCCAGAATGTCTTTTTATACCTGCTCACGCTTTTTCACGCTTCCCTCACAGGACGTCACATTTCACACTTTGGCCATCCAATCAAGTTGTTGACATCTAATCATTCCTGTCCACCACACCTGATCTTTCTATTTCGATCTGACTTACAACATTTAACACAAACTTTTAAATCAATATATTTTCTTAGTAATTATTTTTATTTGTTTATTACATGCACTTAACATACAAGTATGTCAAATGGAAATCAGCAACTGCGTGGGATTATTCAACTAGTTGGCTGCTGCAATGTGTCAGGATGGCCGAGCGGTCTAAGGCCCTGCGTTCAGGTCGCAGTCTCACCTGGAGGCGTCGGTTCGAATCCCACTTCTGACAATTGTATCTTGGCACTTCTTTCTTCCTTCTACTCATGGGTCTTTGATCAGTGGTTGTTGATCAATGGTCATGAGAATTTGCATAATCGTGATGAAGGAACTGACCTCCAAGCCCACTGTTCCTTCAGGGGTCTGCTTTCAGTCATTATGCAAATATACTGTTTATAAGATTGGGGAAACCTGCAGTCAGCTGAGACTGAAGAAGTCACTTGGATGAGTGACGAGACATTTTTCCCACTGAAAACGCTACATTCAGATGAACAGAATCAACCTTTGGAGACGTCTTACTGTTGTGACAAAATACACTTGAAACTGGCAATTCTATATCAGTGGAGAACCAATTCCAACAGTCTAAGAGATGTCCATCAAGAGCCTGGGACGGTGGTATAATGTAGACCTCAATGATACCTGGCAACTTGACAAACGAAGGCAAAACTTGGCTAATGACCTCAGGCGGATTAACAACACTGCACTCCTTGAGTGAGGCTTGAGATGTCACTCAAGGACTCCCGGGACCCCATAGTGAGGGGCGCTGCTCCCACCCTAGCAACAGGGAGGAAGTGGACCACAGCCACGTCTGTGCTACAGGCCAAATCGGCTCTGAGCCATAATGACATGGTGGGTCGCGTCCAACAGGGCAGAGAAGGATTTGGTCTTGGCAACCTCGGTGGCAACAGGCATCTGTAACCGAACGTCAAAAAATGGTGGTGGAGGAGGTGTGTCGAAAGGAGGAAACAGTAAGACACGCCAGAGCCATAGCGCTGGCCAAGCAGGGTCACTGGATGAATTGGGAGAGTTTTGAAAAGAGGAAACTCTTATGGAGTGAAATCTGGTGAAATCGGTGGGACCTGATTTTTGGGGGTGAAACCATACTGCATGTCTTCTCTGGCACATTGAATTTCTGTATGACTTGTGTTTTCTGTGAGAGCTTTATAAAATCAAGCAGCTAACCATGACGTCTGCCTTTACAAAACACACTCTAAAAAGTAATTCATCAGGCCTTTTACCACCACTTGATTAAATCCATGGTTGCAAGATAAAAATTCAAATTTACTGATTAAGATAGATCTTCTAAGTTGCAAACTTTATTTTTGGGGTTGTGATGAATTAATAATTTTGGTAATTACATCAAATTAATTTTGTATGTAATATGAAATTAAATCCCAATATTAATGTGTCCAAAACAAAATTCAAGTTGCAATTACTCAAAGAAATTGAATAGATAACTTATTTTTTCTCCATTGTAACTTCTGATTTCAAGTTCCCTCCCCTACTCACTTAACGTGCCCGGGCAAATTCACATATTAAGACTGTGCTTGCATGGCGGACTTGCAAGCTTATGTAAAAGAAATTTCAAGGTAAGTAACATTTAATTTACAAATAACAGTTCTACTAAAGCAAAGGATTTGTGCTAGTCTCATTGGTGGATTTGTGTATGATGTTATGCTGATACACTTGAGGAAATATTTTGCACTACCACATGTAGCTAATGCTAGCCATTCTAAACTTTAGCACAGGAGTGGTTAAGACTTATAAAGTTTCATTTGACAAAAGTCTTTAGCTAGATAGTGTTGCTGTAGCTAGGAAAAGCATGGTTGAAGTTTTGCTACACAATGCAATCTAATTTTGATCAGAAATTGTGACTTTTTTTAGGCTGACTTTTTTTTTAAATTGGAAGCCTTTAAGCTGTGAATAACTTTGTCAGAGGGATAACCATATAAACCTTTTTTTTCTGTCTGGCTCACTTATTTTATGTCTTTATAAAACTTGCATAACGAGACGCCTTAAATAATATTACATTTTATTGTGGTTACTATTGGGATACAGCTTAAAGTAAGTATTGTTCTTGATCTTTAAAGTTGTATCTAGCTTTATTACTTTTTCTAACACAGGTTGTGTGAAATATTGTTAATGTGATTCCGACAGCATCATTCTGGCATAGGTTATGTAAACCTACTTGACATTAAGACTTTACGTAAGCAGTTTGTACATAGTATGATTATCTAGGGTCATTAGTAGTTTGTTAAGTTAGTACACATTTTTACAAAATGGGCTGGGTGTGCAAATTGTGTAAATTTGTAACCACTACAAAAACAGGGCTGCTAAAACATTATAGATTACGCCATAGTTATGGAGGGGGATGTCTCTCATGTCCTCACCAAGATTGTTTTTGTTCCTTCAAAACTTGGGGTAGCCTTAGATCACATCTATCAAGAAATCACTCTCAGGAAACTCAGGAACGAGTCAGATCTGCAGAAACTCTGTCTTTCACTTGCCAGAGTTGTAGCACCAGTGCAATCTCCACAGAAAAAATGTTTTTCGAGCACCTTGGTCGACATTTGAAAAAACACGAAACGGTCATTTGTGTATTTAAAAACTGCAATTTCAGCACTAATGTTTATGGAACATTTGCCTCCCACAGAAGCCGAAGGCATACTCCTCATTCACTGCAAGACTTCAAGGAAAACCTGTTAAAAAGGTATGTGTGTTCTTCAAATACAGAAGATTGTAGTAATATGGATGTTCAGGATGAGGAATTATCGATTACCAATGATGGTCAAGGTAACGATGATGATGTGAGAGATCTACCAAATATCATTGAAAAAAACATGGCATTGTTGTTTCTAAAACTGGAGAGCAAATTTAATGTATCTAGCAAGTGTATTGATGAGATTATTGAGGAATTACACTTTATCACCGAAACAGCATCAGGCCCCCTCATAAAAGAGATTTTACAGTCCTGTCTGAGGAAGAACAATTGTGAGATAGATGAATCTGTTGTGTCAGATATGGTGACAGAGCTTTGTGAGGCCAACCCCTTTACCTCCACCTTGTGTAGTGGTGGTTCACTTTCTTCTGCCTACAAGAGAAGGGCATATTTTAAGGAGCAGTTTGCTGTAGTGGAACCAGTGGAGTATGCACTTAGTAGGGAGGAAGACAGAAGCTTCCAGTATGTTCCTATTCTGAAGTCATTGCTTCAGGCTATGACACGGAAAGAGATCCAGGATTTGATCTTGCATGATGAAAAACCTCAAGGTAAAGATGGAACACAGTACAGGGCATTTTGTGATGGCATTTATTATAAAACAAATGAGTTGTTTTCTGGAGAAGATCCTACCATTGCTATTATTCTGTATATTGATGACTTTGAAATATGCAATCCCTTGGGCACGTCAAGGAAAAAACACAAAGTCACTGCTGTGTACTGGGTGATAGCTGATATTCCTGCACAGCTCAGATCTTCACTGACCTCCATCTTCTTAGCAATTCTCTGCAAGGCTGATGATGTAAAAAGATTTGGTTACAGTACTGTACTGGAGCCACTGCTGAAAGACCTTGTGAGCTTGGAGGAGGAGGGCCTGTATGTCCCAGCATTAGGCAGAAAAGTTAAAGGAACAGTGTTTAGTATTGTTGCAGATAATCTTGGAGCCCATTCTGTGGGAGGATTTGTAGAAAACTTCTGCAGTTCTTACTTTTGTAGATTTTGTCTGGCTGAGCAGTCAGAGTTTCAGGTGGCAGAAGTAAGAACAGGCGCATTTCAACCCAGAACCACAGAACAGCATCAAATGCACATCCAGAATGTGCAGGAGAACCCTGCTTTGACACATGTATGTGGAGTCAAGAGACAGTGTGCACTTACAGAGAATCTGAAGTACTTCAATGTTTTGACAGGATACCCACCTGATTTGTTGCACGATCTGTTTGAAGGTATAGTCCCTCGTGAGCTGGCTCTGTGTCTTCAAGTGTTCATTAAGAGTAAATACTTCACTCTTGATGAACTCAACAAAAACATCAAAACATTCCCCTACAAATGGTCAGACAAGACTGATGCTCCACAACAGGTCCCTCTGAATTTTGCAGCAAAGAAAAGTGTTGGAGGGAATGCCCATGAAAACTGGTCATTGCTGCGGTTCCTACCCCTCATAATTGGATCAAAAATCCCTGAGGGTGAACCAGCTTGGGAAGTACTTCTAGTACTGAAGGACATAGCTGAGCTTGTTGTAAGTCATGTTCACACAGAGGAGAGTATCTGTTACCTAGACAGCAAGATCTCTGAACACAGACACAGGTTTCTCCAGGTTTTCCCACATGAAAAATTAATCCCCAAACATCACTACCTGGAGCATTATCCACAGCTGATCAGGGCCTATGGTCCACTTGTGTTGCTTTGGACCATGCGGTTTGAGGCCAAACACAACTTTTTTAAGCGTGTTGTTAGGCACACTCACAGCTTTCGAAATATTCTATTGTCACTGTCCATGAAACATCAGTTGATGATGGCATACAACCAGCATGATCCCAGTGCTGTGAAACCTGTCTTGCAGGCCACACAACTGTCTACTGTAGATGTTACTGTGCTAAGAGAAGACATCAAGGAAGCACTGCATGCTAAATTTGCTGGTGAAACACGCATTCAGATAGCCAACAATGTATGTTATAGCGGCACAAAGTATGCAGTTGGCATGATTTTGGCTAATGGCTCGACGGGTGGTGTGACAGATTTTGGAGAGTTGATCCAAATAGTTGTTGTGAAGGGCATGCTTGTATTCATTGTTAAATGCTTAAGTTCTTGGTCAATTGAGCATCTCAGGAGCTATGTTCTTGAGAAAACACACACTGTGAAAGTGCTAGAGCCAGCAGAGCTGTCTGATATCTTCCCCTTAACACCTTACATGCTTGGTGGAAAAAGCATTGTAACCCTGAAATGTTACATTTATGTCCCATAGAATGCCAACATAGCCTTGACTTGTCAAATTTGGAAGTCAACAAAAGTCCAGAACAAAAAGACAGTAACAGGGTTTTCTCATTTGTAACTTTTATATGATGATCAGCCTGACATTACATTAAGATGTGGGTACAAGATGCAAATAATGTGCAAGAACATAGTATGTTATTGTTGTTGACGTTGTTATAATGTAGTCTTCATGTTTTCATTTAAAACAGATTGAGAAAAATTAGAAGGAATAGAGTTTGGTGTTGGCCTGGTATTTTGTGAAGCCA